TGTTGCTGTTAAGTAGAAGTTGGGGAAGGTTGTGTGAGGCACAGTGTTCTCTGTGAGATGCAAGGGCTAAGAGGGAGTTCCTAGGAAAGAACAGGGAAACAAAGGCTTGGGAGCTGGAGCTGTGAAGAGCGCGTCAGAGGGGCCAAAGATCGCTCTTCTACAGAAGGTGACCTGGATTGGGGACTGAGACCCTTTTACTTGAGTGGTATTCTGGTTTATCCCTGGGAACTATGCTCCACAGATTTACCTGCTGTGGGCCTGCCTCCTGCTCTCAGCCTCCATCAGGGACCTGTTGTTACTCCCTGATGTCTGTTAGAGTCAGGTCTGGCCATCACTTCGTTAGAGCCGTGCCTCACACACACACGGGCACGTGCACACACACACACACACACGCGCGCACACACAGCTTTATAGTCCCCTGAATAGCTGTGTCAGGGGTTGGGGCAGGGACAAGGCTATGGAACGCTGTCTTCTGGCCAGGGCACCATGGTATCTGCAACAGCAGCTGCAGTTGCCTTCACTAGGCCTGCACAAAACTGAGCTTGTCATCTAACAGGAAAGGGAGGGGCTTACAAGCCTGCTGAATTATTGGCTACTGGTGGATTCTCAGGGAAGAGCTGTTGCGCCAATAAAGCCACCTTAAATTAAAGGACGGGGGCTGGAGAGATGGCTCAGAGGTTAAGAACACTGGCTGTTCTTCCAGAGGTCCTGAGTTCAGCTCCCAGCACCCACATGGTGGCTCACAACCATCTGCAAATGAGATCTAGTGCCCTCTCCTGGTGTACAGGCAGAACACTGTGTGCCTTAGAGTTCCTAGAAGTCTCCTAGAGAGGACAGGAAGAGAGGAAGGAGAAAGGATTTCTGGGGGACTTCCCAGGCTGGTGGGTCAACCTTGGACTTATCAGGCCTTTATCTCAATTTCTGACTGACGAGTTTTTATTATACTGAAACAAATTTAGGTAATTGTTTCAGAGAGCAATCATTCATGGTCTTCAGCTATAGGTTTACAGGTGAGCCTATCAGGCTCCAGTGGCCCTCATTAAACAAGTGTGTCATAAAACAAGACAGAGAGACATGAATGAGGGAGAGGGACTTGTAGGGAGCGGAGGATGCCAGGCTGGAAGACGGATGGGGAATCTAGGTATCTCTGCCTTGTTTATTGTTCCCTGTGACCTCTTGAGTGTGTTTATAGTTCTCTTCAGATCAAGAGATCTGAGAAAACACAAAAGCAGCAACCCTGTAGGAGTTCATGCACATCTTTCAACAATGACCTCAATTCCTCTACACAAAGACACTAACAGGTCGGATTAGAAAACAGAATCTATCTTTTTTTTTTTTTTTTTTGCTGCTCATCAACTCACTGGCACAGGAAAGGGCTTTTGAACAGGATCCTGGTAGTGTAGGCATTATGGCCAACAATTAATAAATGGGATCTCAGAAAATAAAAGCCTTTTGTACAGCAAAGGACACCAGCATTTGAGAGAAGAGGTATAGCCTACAAAATGTTAAAAAAAAAAAACAAACAAAACAAAACACTTTACCAGTTATACATCCAAGGGTTCGTATCTAGACTATACAAAGAAGTAAAAAAAAACTAAGCATCAGGTAAACAACCCATTTTAAGATGGTGCATGCCTTTAATCCCAGCATTTGGGAGACAGAGGTAAGAAGATCTTTGTAAGTTTGAAGCCAGCCTGGTCTACATAATGAGTTCCAGGACAGCCAGGGCTACACAGAGAAACCCTGTCTTGAAAAAAAAATTTAAAAAAATAGAAAGTTCTCAGAAGCTGAAATACAAATGGCTCACAAATATTTTTTTTTTTTAATTCTCAACATTCTTTTGCCATCAGGGATATACAAATTAAAACGACTTTGAGATTTCTTCTTACTCCAGGCAAAATGGCTAAGATTATAAGGAAAAAACAAAAATCAGTGACAAACTCTGGCGTGAATGGGGAAAGGGGAACACTTATTCATTGCTGGTGGGAGTACAGACTGGTGCAATTACTATGGAAAACAGTCCAGAGTTTCCTCAAAAATCTAGAAATAGATTTACCACATGATCCAGCTATATCACTGTTGGACACATACATGAAGGACTCTATATCCTGTTACAAACATACCTGCCCATCCATGTTCCCTGCAGCTATACTCACAGTAGCCAAGAATCAGAAACAACTTAGATGCCCATCACTGATAAATTGTGGTACATTTATACAATGCAATATTACGCAGATGTTAAAAAATAAATAAATAAAATGGCCGGGCGTCGGTGGCGCACGCCTTTAATCCCAGCACTCGGGAGGCAGAGGCAGGTGGATCTCAGTGAGTTCAGGGCCAGCCTGGTCTACAGAGCTAATTCCAGGACAGGTTCCAAAGCTACAGAAAAGCCCTGTCTTGAAAAACCACAAGAGAGACAGAGAGAGAGAGAGAGAGGAAGAGAGAGAGAGAGAGAAATGAAATTATAAAATTATCAGTTAAATGGGTGTAGTTAAAAAAACAGTCATTCTGAATGAGGTAACCCAAACCCAGAAAGACAAACGGTATATTTTCTCTAGTTTATGAAAACATCTTCACATATATGGGTTTCATTTGGAGTACCCATAGAGGCCAGGAAATCAGTAAAAGGCTAAGGTGGAGGCGGAGTTTCAAGGAAGGAGAGCATTAAAGGGGGATAGTAGGAAGGAAAGGGTTAAATTGGGGGAGGAGATGGGAGAGGAGAGTGGAGGAGGGAATGCAGGGAAGGAAAACTGACACTAAAGACCTTTTGACAAAGTCATTTGGAAACCACTTTATTCCTACAGAAGTACTGTCATTGTTACCGTAGAAGCTGCCATATGAAATTTAAATGGAAACACAGAGTGGCAAAGCCCAGACTAGACTCCACAGGCAAATAAAACAAAAATCCCAGTCCCAGGAATGGATAACCTCTTTTAGAGATGTTGGGTAGTGATGTCCCATAGACCTCCAACCATTCCAGGCAGCTGCCAGATGCTCTTGGTTACCCTCTAGAACTTGATGGCAAGGAAGGCCGTGTTGCTGAAGACACCACACACCTGAGTCATGGGACATATGCAAATCAAGCTGCTATCACACTCATCCAGAGGCCCATCCCTACTGGAGGGCTCTCACAGTGTTGCAAGGGGCTAGGTAGGCTGCTAGAGAGGAAAAATAATTATCAGTCACATCCCACTGTAACTCAGGCCTACAATAACTACTGGCCTGGAAAGACATGCCTACTCGGTCAAAAGAAGCATAGCATTGGAATAACTAACCTGGATTTAAACCTGTTTCACAAGTTGTTGGTGCCAAGAACCCGTGGCTAGACAGGTCAGAAGTCCCAGAGGAGAACCTTCTATTTTTCTACTAAATGGACATAGTCCTTTTGGTGGTTTGAATGTAACTGGCCCCCATTTGGAGGTGTGGCTTTTCGGGGGGCAGGTATGGCCATGTTGAAGAAGTATGCCACTGTGTGGGCAGGCTTTAAGGTTTCCTATGCTTAGGCTATCGCCCAGTGTCTCAGTCTACTTCCTGTTGCCTGCAAGATGTAGGACTTTCAACACCACATCTGCATGCACGCTGCCATGCTCCCCATGAACTGAACCGCCAAAACTGTAGGTGAGCCACCTCAAGGAAATGTTATCGTTATGAGTTGCTGTGGTCATAGTGTCTCTTCGCAGCAACGAAAACCCAAACTAAGACAGTACTAAACCAACTTATAATCATACCCATAGATTTTTGCTCCTCTCAGCCCTCTTGAGAGAAGTTTCTTCCTTCAGTAGTTGATGACTAACACAGATGCCCGTGACTGGCAAGATGCAGAGAGTAGGTTACTGTCGATGGGATAGCGATATCACACTCGCTTTTCCAAAGGCTCAGAGAGAGGAGGTGGGCACAAAGACCACCCCTAGGGGAGGAGCTATGGGCAATTAGTAACTGCAGGGAGAGACAGTTTCTTTAAAGGTGTGGCCCCTTGTAGGTGGCCCAAGTCATAGGAGAAGGTCACACATCTAAGAGTATACGGGCAGACTTGATAGAAAAGAGGAGAAATAGAAAGAGGAGACACAAAATTATTAGATCAGAGGCGGACGTGAGATGAGTTGGGAGAGGTAAGTATAATCAAAATACAATGTGTGAAATTCTCAAAGAACTAATACAATAGATGAGAGAGAGAGGAATAAGAGTAACCAGCATACATGTATGAAACTGCTGAAGCAGATATTTAATAAAAACAATAATAATAAAAATATACCCCTACCAGAACCCAGAACCCCAGGCTGTGACCTGGCTTGCAGTAAAAGTCTTTGTGAGGCAAAGAAGGAAAGGAATCCGAGTTGGGGGACACTGGATCAGTGTCCTTAGACACACCAGGATGCAGAGAAAGGCCACGAGTTACGGAGGCAGGCAGGGCAGGGATGTGCTGCCACAGACCAAGGGATAATCCAAGTCACCAGAGCTGGAAGATGAAAGTCCTCCAGAGTCCCCTGAGACATCACAGCCCCACCACACAGCCATTCTGCTGCTCTCTCCAGAGCCAGGAGAGAAGAACCTCCCTGCTGTTTTAAGAGTGCCAGTTCGTTGCGGAAGCTGCAGGAGTTAGCACAGTACAGGTCTTGACTACTGATGAATCTTTAACTGCTATTTATCATTGTGGATATTCCCTCAATCATGGGTAAAACAAATTAGTATCATGCAGAGAGTTAAAAAAAAAAACAATAACAATAACCCACTGTGAAATGACTTCTTACAGATGGAGGAACTTAAGCTCAAGAGAAGGCTGGGGAAGACCAGGAGACATACTCTAGCCCACAGCTGCCTCGGCCTGTGAGTCCCTTGTCTTCTCCTGGATGGCATGAGGCCAACCCACACAAAGCAGAGTCATTCTTGGCCAACAGGAAGCCTGTGTACCCTTCCCATTTCTTCTCGGTGCCTCCTGATTTGGCAATAGCAAACATCTGTCCACTTTTCACCCCTCCATCCAGAAAAGCAAGAACTGCAAAAGATCAATGTGTCATATTTTCTCAACCCAGGCCACTGGGCATCCTAGGTCTCCATCTACCACCCACAGCCATTTCTATCCTCCCTCAGGCACCCATTTCAACACTCCTGACTGTGCAACAGCTGGCCAGTCAGATAAGAGCAGAGCGCGATCCGTGGAGTTGGTGTGCATGGAGCTGACATCTTCCAGAGCCAGCATCATGGTGCAGCTCATGGCCTGGGCAGGTGCGTGGTCTTGGACAGGAAGAGAGGGTTGGGCCCCAAGAACCACGGGTGTGCATGGCCTGTGGCTTCCTCATACTGTGCAAGGAAGGAAAGGGCTGGGAAGATCCTTGGTTCGTTCCATCTGTCCCTGCCTCCTAGCTTAACTATGCTTTTAGTCCAAGAGTGTTTGTATTGCAAGGGGAGAGTCCTTCCATAGGCCCTTTCCCAGAAATGCAGTGGGTGAGCCCTGGTACTGGGTGTCCTTCCCCTCCTGAGTACTTAGGTCCAAGAAGCAGCACCCAAAGGTCACCTTCCCTATGGCTTGTCCTCCGAGAAGGTAGCCTGGGGCCAAGAACACTAGGTGTTCTTACAAAATAGAATATTAGTTTACTTATGTATATCATATATTTATAATTTATTTTATTTGTGTATGTGTGGGTACCCAGGTACCCACAGTGGCCAGAAGAGGACATCAGATCCCTCGAAGCGGATCATAGGCAGTTGTGAGCCATCTGACGTGGGTGCTGGGAGTTGAACTCAGGTCCTCTGCAAGAGGAGTAAGTGATCTTACCACCAGCCTCTTCCTGCAAATTTCATGCAGATTTTTTTTTAGATTAAAAATAAAATTGAAGGTTACCAGAAAGATGGAAACAAATTCTTTGAGGGCTTCTGCCAGCCCTAGGCTGCTATTGAATCTCAGTCTCTTCAGGACCAGAGGGACTGGGTACCAAACCCATCAGAAGATGGGGTCTCTTGCCCAGCCCTTCCAGGCAGGCTCTTCCTAGCTCTGGGATGGGTTTTCCTCTCATTTCACAGAGGTGCTTTTTCTCTGCACACCTCACTTGTCTGCTGTTTTCCCGTAATCCTCCTAAATCCACAGCAGTCTCCGCTGAGACCGTAGAGCGTCCTGATAGCCATGGAAACTTGCATCAGCTTCTGGGATGAAGTCTGGGTGGAAACAGGCCCCTGGCTGTTCAGTGTAGGTAGAGAGATGATCAGTTTCCTCCTGAGTCTTCTCTGGAAGGAGAAAGTTCCATTCGTATGAAACCAGCTTTACTTGGACACCTACACCCACTCTGCCTCAGCCAGTGCGTGAGGCCTGGGCCTGTGGCCATGACAACGGCATCCTGACCTCTGTTTCTTTTCTTGGATTATCAGGTGTGATGACTCTGTTGATGGTCCCCTGTGGTAAGTGACACCTTGTTTTAATGCCAGTACTCCATCCTTCAGCCCATCCCTATTTCTGCTATATTCCCCCATTCTAGCCACTACATGCACATTCACATACACACACATGCACACACACGCACACATACATGCACATACACACAAACACCCAGTTTCTGTTATACTCCTCCATTCCAGCCATTACACACACCCACACACACATGGGCTCTTGCCAGACCAGAAGAAGTAACTTTCAAAGCTCAGGTCCCTGCAATTGCCTTTGTTTCCCTAAAAGTCCCACCATTCTTTCTTCTAAGGAGATTTTTACATCCTCACCATTAGCTGATTGCTTCCGGGCCATAGGACCAGGTGTGTCCTCCTCTCTCGAGTCCCCACGAGATTCCTCGCTCCTATATCTGTTCTCATGGCATTGTACACTTTCTAGTATGCATCACATTTCTATAGTTCTTGCCTTAAGCTTTTTATCCCACAGACTCTGAAGCCAGAGGTAAGGGAAGCCAAGTCCAGCCCTGTGGTCCCAGCCCTGGAGCTCAGCGAGGACATTTGTGCTTGCATTTGCTGATGGGTGTGGAGCTGAAGAGAGTCAGAAGGGATTCTCACGTCAAACAAAAAGATCTAAGAGATCTCCCAGGCATTTCAGCAACTCAGACTCCCAGGTCCCTTTCCACCCCACCTACTTGCTGAGCACCAGTGGTCCAGGGATGCTGGCCTCTCAGGCTCTTGTTCTGAAGATGCCAGGCACAGTAGGCTTATAACTGGGTGCTCATCTCCCCTCTTGGTCTCACACGAGGGGTCAGGCAGGCGCCCATGAAAGGTAGTGATTGCTCCAAAAGCCAAACGAAGCCCCAGCTGCTTCCAGGCTACATCAGCATAGCACAGTAAGAAGGCTGTGTGGTCTAGGAACTAACGTCTGTAAGCAGCCTGAGCAGAGTTCGCCCTGGGTCAGCACTGTGGGACACACTGTGTGGGCAGATGTCCCCACTCCAAGAGGAGGAAGCTGGGTTATATGAGCAGCAGGCTGGCGTACCGGGAGGTCTGCTTTCTCCTAACCACCATACTGCCTCTGTTGTCTAAAAAGGTACTTGTAGCACTTGATGTACAGTTGTGAGATGCGTCTCCACACCAGCCTCCTGATTCCTTCCTGTGTGGTCCTGGGGGTGTCTTTTCTAGCTTGATCTCCTCTTTCTTTCCTTTGCTACGAAGAATTCCACAATCCTTGTACACACAGTCCTTCCAACAAGCTCCATTCCTGGGTTATTTCTGAGGGAGCCATTGCCTGACGACCCAAAGGTTCTCTTTCAGAGTTGACCACGTGCTCAGGGTGGGGATCTTTATGAACAGAACTCCCACTTTGCACCCATGTCCCCTCCCCCGCCTTCTCGCTGACACTGGATGCACACAGAGAGACAGTTGGGAGGTTGTAAAGAGATCCTGTTGAGACAAAAGCAAGTTCTAGGGCGTAGACACCAAGCTCACCACTCCACAGGTCTCTGGCATCAGATACTGCATTCCAGACTGCATAGCAAGAGGCCCCAGAGAACCCAGACGCTCTAGGACCAATGGAGATGGACCCAGAGTTTGTCTGTTGCAGGGATGGAGACAGAAATTCTTGTTCCCTGATGCCCTGGTCCTGGCTCCAGGCTGCCCTCCAAGGGACCATCAGCATTAGCCCACTGGGCACAGAGCCCCCCCCCCCTGCAGCTGTTCACACGTTATAAGGACACCAGACACAAGCTACCTCTCAACTTTCCTGCATGATACAGGCTTTTTAAGAGAACCTTAGCCATGACATTGATAAATGTAGGCTGTCTCTCTACAAGGAGAAACAAATAAATGCAAACTGCTTTAATGGAAGATTAAAGAAACATGAACCAAGGCCTGTAACTGGAACGGCCCCGCCCTGCTATTTCACACATTTGCATTTTAATTGGCATTGTGAAGTATTCCCAGCTGTGTTTGGAAGGTTCCACCTCTCTTCCTTTGGCAAAAGAACATGTCACGTTAACTCCCCTTGGGCCTTGTGATGGGGCCGCCTAGGGCTGCCTGGGGTTCCAGGGCCTGGAGAAGATAAGGAAGCCTTCGAGTGGGCCCTGACCCGAGGGACCTGGTTATCACAGGGTCAGGAGACCAGCATCCAAGCCCCCTGTTCTGTCCTCCCAGGGGCCATGCAGACAGAAGTCTCCTTGCTCATGAACCTTGGTTTGCTCATGGTGAAAGGAGCTTGTAATGAGGGTTCTGCCGATGACAGGTGGCCCGTGGCCCCCATGACCAACCTATGTGAATGCTGTCCTAACTGTGAGATGCTTGCCCAAACAAAAGCGAGTCACATTGCTTTCTGCAGTCAGCCCTCAGCCTAGGTACATAAGACACCCGTGGGCCTTGTCTACCTGCAGCAGGGACCACCAGTTCCCGGGGGCTCTTCTGACCGACATTCTCTCCACCCCCCTTACTGGTCAGGCTCTGCTACAAAACTGGTCTGCTACTTCACCAACTGGGCCCAGTACCGACCGGGGTCAGCTCGATTCTTACCCAAGGATGTAGACCCCAACCTGTGTACTCATCTCGTCTATGCCTTTGCTGGGATGGACAATCACCAGCTCAGATCTATAGAGTGGAATGACAAACTCTTCTACCAGGAGCTGAACGGCCTGAAGAAGATGTGAGCCAAAGGGTGGGCGGGTGGGGTGATGGATGGACAGATTGCCCTCCCCTCAACCGACCTGCATTCTGGCCCGCCCCCGCGCCCTGCTTACCTGTGCTTGTATAGAAGAGATGGGGTAGATGAGAGAATTGTGAAGGGTCCTTCAATCTAATGAAGATCATTGCATAACTGGTTCTTCCTCGGGAATTTTCTTCCTCTTGGGCATGCCCTAGAATGCATCTGTCTTGAGCTACTTTACGAAGCCCCTCTGAGGACCCTGGTTACTTATCTCCTAGTTCTTTGCGCACGTGCCCCTGTGTGGTGCTGCTCCAGCTACACGCAGGGCCCTCAGTGTCACACACATGTCTTCCCTCTCCCAATCTCCACCTCTCGAGGCACTCAGCACGGGCTGTGTGCACAGGGCTCGATGCATGCTCAGGCCTGTTCCTGCTGTCCCTTCCACCCACGGTCTTGCCAGTCCAGGAGCTGGTGAGACACAGCCTTGCACATCTCTTGTCTTCTCAGGAATCCCAAGCTGAAGACTTTGCTGTCCATCGGGGGCTGGAACTTTGGTACCCAGAAGTGAGTGGACATGGACAAGCGGCTGGCAGAAGCCTGTGGATGGGAGTGTGTTGCGCTGGCAGGCAGAGCCCTCCTCAGGGAAAGTAGGCCAGGCCAAAGCATGGCAAGGGGCAGGGTCCTGGACCAGGGAGCCTTTTCTAAATGGTTCTAGGCCCTCATCAGGATAGGATGGCAGTGGCTCAGGCTTGGCTTCAGGTTGCCATAGACCCAGTCTTATCAGAAGGCCAGAATTTAAAACAGCTGAGCGCTCTGACCACTCCAGCCTCTGTCTCCTCCTCCTTGAAGTGGGGGTAGAGGGGACCAGGGATCTCAGACAGTACACAGTGCCTTCCGAGTGCTGAATGGGCTATCACGTCAGTGACGCTGAGCTTGGCTGCCAAAGTATTGTCCACATCTGTGATATTTTTTATTTATGAAAATAATGAAGCTAGAAATCTCCTTAAAAATCTAGACGATATAGTTCCCAAAGCTTTATATAGTTAAAAAAAAAATTTATTTTTTTTTTTGGACAAAGAGACTTTTTGAGAATCTAATAAATGTTATGACTCAACTTCCCAAAATAACACTTTTTTTAAAAAATTAACATTGTTACGGTTTTTAGCTTGGTATTCCCAGAGACACAGACCTAAGAATTAACACCATTAATTTAAAAGTTAAAAGTTAATAAAAATAGAACCAAGAGGGATGATGGGGGAAAGGTGTCCCCGGGCCAATGTGGAATTGGAGGATCTCGGAAAGGTCCAAAGGTTAGTCCCAGCACACAGCCCTCCCTCCACCTAACCTGCCAGGGAACTCACCCAGAAGGTTCCCAGGGTCCCAGCTCCTGGTTGCTGTCACTGCTTGTCCCCTAACTGTTCCAAAGGAGTCTGGAGAGTAGGGGGTGGGGTAGCTCTGATTGACAGTGAGACAGCTCAGGGGGCTGCAAGGGATTGGAGCAGCTCTGATGACATTGACTTCAGGGGTTAGAAAACACGTTTATTGTTCCTTTCCTTAAGCAGGCCCCTAACCTGGGCAGCCATCTTAGAGCCCTTCCTGGTGTAAACACAGATTGGGATCTTGAGTACTTTCCTACTTGCCCCAGGGCAAGACGGCAGGCCACAACCCTCCCATCATTTTGCAGGTTCACAGATATGGTGGCCACAGCCAGCAACAGGCAGACCTTTGCCAACTCAGCCATCACGTTCCTGCGTACTCATGATTTCGATGGCCTTGACCTTGACTGGGAGTACCCAGGGAGCCGCGGGAGCCCAGCAGTAGACAAAGAGAGATTCACAGCCTTGCTGCAAGTATGGCTAGGCGGGACTAGAGTCACCCAGTCTGCCAAGTGACTCAGGGTGGTGGCCCCAGTGTTTGAGAGCTGCTGGGCCCCCAGGAGCAGCAGCTTCAGACTCCAGAGTATGAACTCCTATGGGTGTGTGGGGGTGGGGAGGGGTGATAAGGTGGAGGGTCCTGCTAGCTTCTGCCCTAGCCACCATTCTGCATTCATCCACAGGACTTGGCCACAGCCTTCCAGAAGGAAGCCCAGAGCTCAGGGAAGGAACAACTTCTTCTGACCGCAGCTGTCCCAGCTGGGCAAGACCACGTGGATGCTGGCTATGAGGTGGACAAGATTGCTCTGTGAGTATCAGGTGGTCTACTTAGACCCCATGCCCTCCAAGGCCGGGAATGCTCAGGGTGGTTGAGCTTCCCGGAAATGGAGCAGATCTTTGTCTCAAAGACGTGGCTTTCAGCCAGGAGGTAGTAGTGCATGCCTTTAATCCCAGCACATGGGAGTTCAAGGCCAGCCTGGTCTACAGAGTGAGTTCCGGGACAGCCAGGGCTACACAGAGAAAACCTGTCTTGAAAAAACAAACAAACAATAACAACCACAAAAAGACATGGCTAATGGGTGTCTGGGAAGTCCATTTTCTGTATCTGCTACTCCATTATTACAGATCTTCTTTGTGTGTGTGTGTGTGTGTGTGTGTGGTGTGGGGGTGTTTTTTCTTTTCTTCCTTGGGAACTCACTGTTAAGGAAATACCTTTGGGGCAGGGAGGGAGAGCAAAGTCTGGAAGCATCTCCAAGACTATGGGAGGTCACATGTTAGCTCCATTGTGTGGTATGCACAGCTGCAGCCCCTATGACCCTTGAGAGCTGGTGTGGTGGTGAGCGCCTTTATTCCCAGCACTCAGGAGGTGAAGGCTGATGGGTCCCCATGAGTTTGAAACCATTGTGCGCTACACAATGAGTTCCAGGCCAGCTACATAGGTGTGTGTGTGTGTGTGTGTCTATGTGTCTCTCTCTCTCTCTCTCTCTCTCTCTCTCTCTCTCTCTCTGTGTGTGTGTGTGTGTGTGTGTGTGTGTGTGTGTGTGTATGGGGGGAACATTTGAAAATCTGTTAGAAATGTAGCCTGCTGAGTAAGAACCTACATTTTAGTGAGCTTCTCCGGGGACTTGCGTAATACAAAGCTCAGGATGCACTGAGCTAGATTGCTTCCAGAATGGCAAAATCAAACCAGCTTTCTTGCACAGAACAGGAAGCACCTGAGGGTGATGAAGGGACAGTAAGTGGGGGGGGGGGGCACCAAAGACAATGGCCAACCCCACCGGCTAAGAGTACGGGATGCAGAATGTCATAAACAGAGCCAGAAGTGAGCCTCTCGTCCCTGCACTGCCTCCCCATCCACACACTAAGGGAAGCGGCTACACTGCCTCCCCATCCACACACTAAGGGAAGCGGCTACACTGCCTCCCCATCCACACACTAAGGGAAGCGGGGGGGGGGGGAGGGGGGGAGGCCCCGTCCTCATCTCCCACCCACATTCCCACCTCCTACGCCCTCCTGCAGGAGCTTGGATTTCATCAACCTTATGGCCTATGACTTCCACGGCTCCTGGGAAAAGACCACAGGACACAACAGCCCCCTCTACAAGAGGCAAGAAGAGAGTGAGGCAGCCTCAAGGCTCAGTGTGGTAAGGGGTCAGTGCGCTGGACAGGCCCTCTGTCCAGCGGGGCCTGCTCAGGGGCCTCACTTGAGCCCCAAGCCCCTAGTGGAAAAGAAAACCAAGTGAGACAGTAAGAGACCAGAATTTCACCGTTGCCTTCGCTTGTCACTCTCCTGTCCTGATCTCCTGGGGGTCCAGCCTCACTTCTCTGCAGCATCTTAGATAACAGAGCAAGTCACAGGGGATTGGGGAAGCCTCCTAGGAACTTGACTTTCCCGCCAACAGGGCTCTCACGCCTTTCACATCCTCATCCCTTGCCCAAGGTTGATAACACCAACGAGAGCATCACTAAGGGAGGAACTCCCCAGCCTCAGAGAGCAGCAGGCTGGTCTTAGACTGCGGTTGTATTGTCCTGCCCAGCTCCTTCTCCTGAGAAGTCTGGACACTTGCCATAAACCCAGTCTACACCTACGAGTCAAGAGCAGCCAGGCCATTTCTCTTTCTTAATGCGCCCTAAATTAGAATGCTTTTGGCGTCCTGTACCTCTGTGTTGGCTGGACTGGGACGCCCTTATCTCCCTGACTCATTCACAAAGTCCATACTGTGGGCTGAGGTCACATCACACCCCACGGCTCGCCTCATCTGGAAGGACACTAAGTAGCTCAGCCAAGCGGGAGACAGGAAACCGACTGGCACAAGGGGCTGAAGCCCCACGGCTTGGTATCCTCTGGCCTGGAGAAGAAGGTCTTTCCCTTTGACCACGGGACTCCTTGGGGCACTGTGTGTCTGCGGGTTGCTTCCTTCCAATCAGAGTAGTCTCCTGTCCAAACAAACTCAGGGCGACCTGAGTTTTTCTCTCAGAAAACTGGGATTCAATCACGGGTAAATCCTTCAAGACCAACCAAAAGGAATCAGTGCAATGAAAATGGCCCTTTACCTACGAGGCTTAGACTCACCTTGAGGGAAATGAGCCATGGTCTAGGCCTGAAGGACCAATCTTCATCTTTCAGTACTTACTCAGTATAATGAGATCAAATGTCTCTCCCAGCCATAGGCCTAGGATTACCCCCTCCCCCCAAGTACCATACAACTGTGGAAAGGTGGGTGGTTAGAGCCTGGACCTACAGATCCAAGTTCCCGATCTTGTTCTCAGGGGACTCTTACGACCATAATAGCTGACAGAGAAAATGCTCACAGCTTCCCATGTCACCTCTGCTAGGCTCACAGACACATTAAGCCCTTGAATTCACAAGGCTATTTGTATTAGTTTTATTCTAAACACTTTGCTGAGCGAGGCAGGGATTTCTGTCTACATCCTTCAGTGATGTATTCCAAGCCTCTAGGACAGAGCTGGGCACACAATGGACTGTTGGTTGGTGACTGTTTGTCTGACAGATGGTTACCTGGCTCCAAACCCGACCCCCCCCCCAATGACTATTGGACCTTGGGGCTTCCCTCATAGGGTTTAGGGGGCTAAGGTGGGATTGAAAGAGGGTGGGCATAAATGGGTTGCTCATGAAGAGCCTTGGGTCCAGCAGAGGAGACCCCCCCCCTGCCCCTTTGCTCTCTCTAGAGTCCCATTCTCAGGCAACCAGAACTAAGGTAAAGACAGATTAACCAGGCCCGCCTTCTCCACCAGGATGCTGCTGTGCGGCTCTGGCTGCAGAAGGGGATGCCTGCCAGCAAACTGATCCTTGGCATGCCCACCTATGGGCGCTCCTTCACCTTGGCCTCCTCATCAGACCACACAGTTGGGGCCCCGGCCACGGGACCTGGTGCTCCAGGCCCCTATACTAGGGAAGGAGGGATACTGGCTTACTTCGAGGTAAGAAGGCCTTCAGCTATCCTGAGTATGGTGGAGGGCCAGGGGCTCCTGGAGGGTGCTGACTTCTGCAGGTGCTGAGTAAAGGTGGTAAGCATGGAGAATTCTGGCCAGAACTCCATCCTATCCTGGCCACCTTGTGAATATCCTGAAGCTCAGATAACTGAAGTCTAAATCCACAGTTCTGGGATACTCCACAGAACCTATTGTGTTCTCTAGGCTTCCTCAGATGGGAGTGTTTCAGCCTCTGGTCTCCTCTCGGCATGGGGGACGGGTATGGTTAATCCCGAAGATGCCAGGAAAAAGACCACTGACCCAAATAATCATGGCCAAATTAATTAAAGCAGGGTTCTTTAATTTGTGTACACAAGCTGCACCCCCCCCCAAAGCAGGGTTCAAGAGGTCAACATTAGGCCTGGGGAAGGTGAGGTTTTTATAGCTCAGGGGTAGGGAGGTTTCCAAATGGGTGGGGTTACAGGAGCAGAACTTAAGCGTAACAAATTAGTCATACTGACCCCCTGAAACACAGACCTGCTTGCAACCATTCTGAAACAAAGACATGGTTGCTGTTTCTAGGAACAGGCAGTGCAGAGCCTTTTATGTTCTGGTTTCAGATGGGACATAGCCCAAGCCTTAAGAAACAGATGTAATCATAAACAAGAATGAGCCTAGTTTGGCTTTTAAGCCTAAGGCCCAGGCAGGACTGCTTCTCTGTGCCTACCAGTGTCCTCCTCCTCCCTAACACAGCTCTGTCCCTGCAGGTCTGCTCCTGGAAGGGAGAGCACAGAATCAAGGACCAGAAGGTGCCCTACGCCTTCCAGGACAACCAATGGGTGGGGTTTGATGACACGGAAAGCTTCAGGGCTAAGGTGAGGCTGGCCCTACGGGAAGTCTACACACACACACACACACAGAGAGAGAGAGAGAGAGACAGACAGACAGACAGACAGACAGACAGACAGACAGAGAGACAGAGAGAGAGAGAGGTTTCTCTACATGAGTAGTCCTCTCCACAAGATTTGTGTTTTACCCAAATACCAATTCTATAGGCACCGTGGAAAGGAGAAATACGTGTGGTATGGTGGGACGTTACCCAGTCTGTTGGTCAGACCTGGGGCACACTCATCCTGTCCAGTACGGGCTCCTTCATGTGTTTCCTGGCCCCTCTTCCCAGAAGAGGCCCTCAGACCCTGAAGAGACAGCATCTGTTTATGAGCAGGCCTCGTGGGGCAGATGGTGGCAGGGGCTTTCAGGGATGCCTGTGGGAATCTAGAAAGAGTAGATGCAGTTCAAGGAGACAGGAGGAAGCTGTGTGGAGGAAGTGTGCTTGAGGCAAGTCCTAAAGCCTAGGACGTAGTCACACAGGGAGGAAACCGTAGGCAGACAGGGAGAAGGAAGAGATGGACGCTCAGAACAGGGCAGGGCCCATGAAGGAGAGTAAGGCCTGTAAGAGGTCCAGACCACCATACCTGCCAGCTCCCAGACACACTCCACAGACAAACATCATGGTGCCCTGAATATCTCTGAGGGAACACACAGCCACAGGGAATCTTGAGGGTGACCAAAAAAAAAAAAAGAAGCTTGCTTCAGAACTTTCAGGACAGGGAGACCTGATTTCCTCTGGTAACTGAGCCGCCTGTAACAACCAGCAGGGGATACTTCAATACCACGTCTGTTCTCACACCCCACCCCAGGTCAACTATCTGAAGCAGAAGGGTCTGGGAGGGGCCATGGTCTGGGCCCTGGACTTGGATGACTTCACGGGCTCCTTCTGTAACCAGAGCCAGTACCCTCTCATCCGGACACTTCAGCAGGAGCTGAGTGAGTACGGGGCACAGAGGCTGAACTCGGAGAGTGGCGTGCACACCCTCCCCTCCCACAAGTCCCTCTGAGGAAACAATTGTGGACACTGTGGAAACTATGCACTTACGGGCCCCTTTCCTGTTTCTCGTTGGCAATACCTGGGGTATGGCAACAGGATTTCCCTCCAAAGGTCTCGGCCTGGGGACAGCTATTTGCCCCCATCAAGAAGAAAGCCAGCCCTCACCCTGTTGTGCCACCCTGTTGTGCGGATCCCCCTAAATGTCCCTCACCGGGATACGGCTAGGTGTCACAGCTGGTCTATAGTCACCAGCTGCCTACTCCTGCATAGGTCAGGCACTGCCGCTGTAATTGTGGCTGAGGTCTGGATGTGGTGTGTGGAGAGCTGGGCTCCTGCCCCCTGGGCCCGCTGCTGTGTGTTGGCCTGTGGTTTGGAATCTGTTGGGCCAATATTGTTTGCCTTTCTAGGTCTTCCGTCCCTGCCTTCAGGAAGCCCAGAAGAGGAAGTACCTGGGCCGCACCAGCCTCCTGAGCCAGAGCAGGGACCCAGCCCAGGGCTAGGCACCTTCTGCCAGGGCAAAGCTGATGGGCTCTACCCCAACCCTAGAGACAAATTCAGTTTCCTCGGCTGTGCAGGGGGGCGGCTGTTCCAGCAGAGCTGTCCCCCAAACTTGGTGTTTAGTGACTCTTGCAAGTGCTGTACCTGGAGCTGAGCCCCCGGGGCCCCGTTCATCCCAGCCCGAGGCCATGCCTGGGATCCCCCAACAGCCTGCCTCTGTGTTCCCTGGGGGCTGCAGGCTTCTCTGTTCTTTCAATGGCTCAGCTCCTTGGCTTCCGTTGGCACTCCGGGGCTTACCCCTTTACCTGCAAAATACATTTTTAGTTTTCGCTCCTGATGGAGTAACTCAAAGAGTTTGCTAAAGCATGCTGTTGACTCAGAAACTTCTTCCCTAGGGGGTTAAGAGGAGAGGGTGGCAAGCAGCAGGCAAAGGTCAGAGCCAGAGGGTACATTTATGGTGCATCAGGGCCCATGAAAGTCTCACCTCACTGAGCGCATCTGCCAGCACACAGGTGGCCGCCGCACACAGGTGGCTGCACACAGGGCACCTGCAGGCAGGCTCTGTACATCCACTGGCCATTGGTTCAGCCGCCTTTAGGGAATGATGCTTAACCTCTGCTAGACAGTTATCTCCCCAATGGACACGTGATGGCAGCAGAGTTTTCCCAATTTATCTCTCTCCATACTAGTGAGGACACCAGTCTTTGGTGGGCTGAGTCACCCAGGCACCTGTCTGGGCTCAAGTACTCACTCCTCCTTATCATAAGGACTGTCTTGGTACTAAGCTTTCACTTGGAAAGGAGGCTTCCTGGGGCTTTTCACATACCTCATCTCAACCACCGCTTCCTGTAGGCAAATGACACAATGACCGTTATCTGCATTTGACAAGCATTTCAGCTGAAGACTAATTCTCGCCAGTTCTGAGTCCAGAACAAGGGTCAGCACAAGCGTGATCTAGCCGGGTGGAGTGTCACATGCCTACAATCTCAGCATTCACCCGGCCAGGGCAGCCTTCTGTCAGACGGGGGGGGGGGGGCACTCCTGCTATCTGGGTGACCGGGGTGGGGTACCTGGTGCCCGCATGATAGTCAGCATCCTTCACTGTTTCCTTGCCTTCCATCTTCCGGCTAAGACAAGAAGCCAACACACTCTCATGTCAGTGTAACATGTTCTGAGTGCTCACACGGCGTCCTCACAGACACCACCTTTGCTCTGTGCTAGTTTTATCCACAGGGAAGTATGACCCATGGCCTCTCTGCGGTCTTCATGCCCCTGTTCCTCCCAAGACCCACGCCCCTGCCTCAGCCCAGGCCAGGTCACCTGTCACTCAGACATGGCTTTCCCCCAGTCTCTCTGCTTCCCGACTTTCCTTCTCTAGTCCATCCTCCACACCCAACCAGTTTGACCTTGCATAAAATACATAAATTAGATCCCTATAAATCAGGGATCTAAGCCAATCACTTCACTTGCTTAGAAACGACAGCTTCCCCAGCCCAGGCATAAAGTCCGTTATCAGCAGTGGCAGCGTTGAGACCCCTTGCAGACCCCGGCCTCTTTTCCCAGCCTGACCTCCCATCACCACATGGGTTCTGACCCGCTCCTACCCACTTGCCAGTGTTCACCTCAGGCACCCAGATCCCAGTGTGGTGCCTCCAGGTGGCCCCCTCCCCTGGCCTACCCAGGTGCACGCACCCCCCTTTTCTGAGTGGATCTTTCTGAGGCTGGAGCCCTCGGCGTACTTAAAGCCATGTGGGTTCATGCTGCTGCTCCACCTCTACTGTGGGCTCTGGGCCGGTGGCTATGCCCTTGCGCTACAGCTGGCTCTCTGGGCACAGACCAAGCATCTGTAACATCTCAGTCGTGGAGCTGGGTGGACACGGCGGGGTTGGGGGAGCGGGCAGGGTGCAGTGCAGGGTGGAGGATGGGGGAGGGGGGATAGTGCGACGGCTGGGCTTTCCAGAGCCAAAATCAATATTCAGCAGACAGTGAACAAACGGGACCCTTTCAGGTGATGCTGAGTGCTACAAAGGATAGCCTGCGTGGCTGGAGACTGGGGGTGGGGGTGGGTGGGGCTGCTGCGAAGTGTGGTTGGAAGGGCCCCTCTGCCGAGGTCACGTCGGAGCTTCCTATAAAATCGCCAAAGACCTGCCCATCTTATCCTCAGAGGTTGGGTCATTGTGGTGGCCCCCTCTTCCCTGGCTGCTTTGCTGGCTCAGTTCTTAGGCCAGAGCCCCTGCCCTGTTTCTTTATTCTAAACGCTGCTCATTCACCAAGCCCTGGCCCCGGTCCTTCCTCACCAGCTGTGACCATGACCTGGTGCCGGAACAAGTCTCCCGGAACAATGCCTGTTTCTCCAAATCTTAGGCCAATTATCATCTCAATTCTCACCTTATAGGTGACCTCGTGGGAAATAACAGTAGTGGTCAGGGCTCCTGGGCCACTGCTTTGTGTCCCTGCCTCAGTCCAGGCATGCTCAGTCAGTGTCCAGGCAGGTGGGGCTCTGACCTGGCGCCCTCGGTCCTGTGTTTTCCCTGATAGCCTAGTCGCCCACACAGAGTCAGCCTTAGGTTGTCTCCTATGGGACCTTCCCATGGACCTTAGCGCATGGGCGAGCGACTCCACTCAACATCCGCCACCCTGCAGGACGGACTTCCTCGTTCACGCCTGCCACCCTGCAGCATGGGCTGCCTGGTTCACGCCTGCAGCTGCGGTGGTTCTCAGTGGGCAGTGAACTCCGTCCCCCAGACCTCAAGCTCCTGAGAGCATGGACACTGTTCTCTTCTTCCGTTGCTAGCTATATGTTTGAGGCTCAGCAAAAAAAAAAAAAAAAAAAAAAAAAAAAGATAATTTCTTTTCAATTTTTAAATATTTTATTATTTGATTACATGAATTTAAATATTATTTAATTTCCATATATTCCAGGCTGGCCTTGGTAGTGAAAGATAACCTTGAATCCCCGATCCCCATCTCTACCTCCCAAGTGCTGGGATTGAAGGCGTGAGCTGCCACCCCCAATTAATGTATTGCCAGAGACTGAGCATGCCTTGTGCCTGCTAGACCAACACTCTCACGATAGGGCACTGCCCTCCAGGCTTATCTACTAAGCATCATTTGTCCTTTAGCTGTTAGCATCCAGTTGCTAGGAATGAGCGTTTCTTGTTCATTCCTGGGGACCATACAAGGATGAGTCACCTGGTAAATATTTATGGGGTGAACCTGATTCCTTTAGTACTCATGTGTTCCCCTATAAAGTATCATCTCATCCTCTGGTCACAAGGCCAGTGTGCAGCAGAGCTGGGTTTTAGATGCTGGTCTAGATGAGACCCACAGCCTAGGTTTATTCTCAAACCACCATGGACATCTCCTTCCTGAATGGAAGTCTCTTTTACCCTGTGTGATGATACCACGCTATGTGTGCTGGATGTCTACCCATGCGTCTATGCTGGGCTATGACATGTTACTGTGTGCCTTAATTTCTCACGTCATTCCTACAGGACCTCACGTGCAGGCACAAGTTCCAGGGCCGTGTCCAAGTCAAGACAACGAGGGAGTGTACCCATAGTCCACTGTCTCTCTCCTGTCTTTAAGCCACAGCTCTTTCCTCTATAACATCTGATTATACAGTTGGCCTGGGCAAATAAAATTAATACAGCTGAAAACTATAAGTATTTCTTGAGCGTTTGTCAGGTACCAGCAGCAGTCTGGGCCTGGGGATGGAGTTTTGCAGGAGTGAGTCCTACCTAACAGCATTTGCAGTTGGTAGGAGGACCAGCAAGCTCCAAGGCTGTTAGCTCCAACAGCCGGCCAGTCCCAGATGGAGGGGGAAGATATCATCTCTGACACTGTGTGGAGCTGCCGGCTCGTGGGCATAATAAGGGCAAGTCAAGTCTGGCCTTACTTGAAATTATTTAGTTCTCTACATACAACGTGACTTCCTGCTCCCACAGCCTGAGAGAGGCATCCCTCCTCTCTTTCTGAAGTTTAGCATCACTCTTAAGCCAGCCTTGTTCTCTGTACCCACCAGACTGCCCGCTACCGCCACAACCATTTTATTATATGCAGCCTCTGTACCCAGACTTGAATTGTTAGTGCTGGACATATAGAGTTTGAAGATGCCTCAGTGGTTAAAGTGCTGGCTGCCCTACCAGAAGATAGGACCTGGGTTCTGATGGGAGATGTCTTTCTATAAATATGTTTCTCTTATTGGTTAATGAATAAAGCACTGTTGGCCAATAGGAAAGCAAGATAGGCAGGACTAGGAGACAAGGAGGTTTCGGGGAAATAGAGGAGGAGATTCAACATGTAGGACTGAGAGAGAAGTCCAGACCCTCTCTCCGGTAAGATAAGACCACGTGAAAACACTTAGATGAATAGAAACGGGTTAATGTTTAAGACAGAGCTAGCCAATAAGAAACACTAGTAACAGGCCAACAGCTTTAAATCTAATACAGCGTCTCTGTGTGTTGTTTGGGGCTGGTGCGGGCGGCTGTGGTCTGTAACTCCAGTTCAGGAGGGTCTGACACCCTCTTCTGGTCTCCATGGGCACCAGGCACACAAGTAGTACACAGGCAAACATGCAAGGTGAAATACACACACACATAAAAGAAAAGCAAATAATCTATTTTTTCCCCCAAGAGAGGATTTCTCTATGTAACCTTGACTGTCCTGGAACTCGCCCTATAGAACTCACAGTCATCCACCTGCCTTTGCCTCTGCCTCCAGAGTGCTGGGACACTACCTGACTTTTTTTTTTTTTTTTTTTTTTTTTTTTTTAAAGAAAAGAATGTGAAGTTATTTTCAGCTTGGTAGCTTACCCAGTGAGCATCTAGCACTTTCTCTAATGGTCCTGTCCCTCTGGTGTCCTAAAAAAGTCCTTGCAGCCTTCTCTGATTATGTGTGTCACATCTGACACCACCCAACAGAAGTCCAGGTAAAGGGGTAACCCATGCCCTCCCCATTTTCAAATGGGTCATAACCCACCCAGAGCTGAAACCTACCTCCCCGCTGTTTTTATTTTCTTTGCTTCAGTTATAAACTATTTCACACATACATAAGAGTGTTCAAAACATGCGTGTGCATAAACTGTCATGAAGCCACTACCCAGGTAAGCACACAGCATCAGCTGTGTCTCATTACGCCTTAAACCTACACCTCCTGGTTTCTGGTCAGCTCCGGTGTATCTCCTGGGCCTACAAGCTGTATGCGTTTGTCCTCTTGTCCAGCGTCTCCTGCCAACTTTCTGTTGGGTGGTCTGTCACATCTATCGAAGCAAAGAGCTCTTTACATGTTCCGAACTTAAATTATTTTATACTTATGGTTTGCTTTGTCTCTCCTTCCCTCCATCCCTACCCGTCTCTCCTCACTTTATAGACCAAGCTGACTTAG